CAGCGTCACCACTGACAACTATGCGTCTGATACTCTCTCCCAACTGGGAATCCCAAATGGGTAAATAGAACCTATTGAACTGCATCCATTCAAAGTCCATTTCAAAACACTATAAACTATTACACATAATATTTAGTTCACCCTAACTTTAGAATAATTTGAATGCAAATGAATGCTTTTTCCATACCTGTATGAATTTTTACTTCAAATTATGTAAAAAAAAAATCTCCTGAGTAATAAAAGTTAATGCTTCTTCCCCAAAAAGGGATCCAATACACAGCTGTACTTTCTAATAAGCAATAACTTTAAAGCAATGTCTGTTTTTTTTTCTTTAGAAAGTGAAAGCTGTGCATTAAATAAAAGTAATACAAATGTGTGAATTTCTGTAAGTAATCACCTGTTCCCTCAACACCTCTCAAATTCATCTTCTCTTCTCCAATCCTGACACCACTGTCCTGGTTTAGCTTCATATAATCTTTCATAATTATAACAAAGTCCTGATATTTACTGCTTCAGTCACGTGTCTTTCAAACCTGTCCACCCGACTCTTGGCAGAATGATGTCTCCAAGGCGTAAGCACTGCAATGCCATTCTTTTCCTCTGTTTCCCGACACCCATTGTCCTTAGCACAAAATTCAAGCCCTTTATCTGCCCTTCAGGGTCTCATTTATGTCTTTGTAAATGTAGCCATTAATACTAGTAATGAAGAAGAGGGAAGACAAGGAGGGAGGCAGAGAGGAGGAAAAGGGGAGAAGGCGGTGGAGGAGGAGGGAGGAGAGGAAGAAGAGGGGAAGGAGGAAGAGAGAAGGACGGAGGGGAGGGAGGGGCCGAGCACTTGGCAAAAGACAGTCTAGGTGCTTCAGGCTCATGTCACATTCTTCACAAGGGCCTTCGCCAGAATCTAACCATGCTGACACCCTGATCGCAGACTTTCACCCTCCATAACCGTGAGAAATAAACTTCTTTGTTCAGAAGGTACCCCCTCTGTGGGATTTTTGTTAGAGTAGCCTGAACAAAGTTCAAATGCTTAAAATCTTTGAAATTCTCAGAGGTTGGCATCAATAAAAATGCTCTCTAAGGAGCTCAAACGAAAATTAGGCACTGAAATTATGTCACCCCTGATTGCATTTGAAATAGAAATACACCTATGTGTATACATACGTGTGAAGATACAGACATACACCCGTGTATCCGTGTAAGGACCCTAAGGGAAGCTGTCTACGTTTAATCTCCCCAACGGAAACCACATGGCTGAACTTTTCAGAGCATTTGCTTTTAATTCCTCTAATCTATAACTCACCCACCATATATTACTTTCTCTAGAATTTGTTCATGCAATTTTTTCGTGAGTTTCACCTGAGAAAGCTGAATTATTGAATGCATATATAATGAAAAACATTAATCAATATTTCATCATGGAATTAATTTTTATTGACTACCAGACTAGTATGGCAGGGGCAGTTGTACTTGTGTGTTTAGAAATCTGCTTCTCTATTAAACTGGTTCTTCTTTAGGACTTTTTAAATCAATTATTTATTTATTTGAGAGGGAGACAGAAACCGAGAGAGCGTGAGTGGGGGAGGAGGGGCAGAGGGAAAGAGAATCTTAAGCAGATTCCACACCCGGCCCAGAGCCCAATGCAGGGCTTGATCCCAGGACCCTGAGATCAGGACCTGAACTGAAAGCGAGAGTCAGATGTTCAATCCACTGTGCCACCCAGATGCACTGAGGAAACTGTTTTTTGACTTTCTACCTAGAATATACTACACAGCAGGATCTCCTATCATATATATTTGATGTATATGATATAGATATATGATGTGTGTGTATATATGATATGTGTGTATATATATGCACACATAAAATATGTTTAAGAATTATTAGTTATAATTGATATATTATTTAATATATAATTTGTTAGATAATATATTAACATATAGTATACATTTAATAATAATGTATAGTGTATTAATATAATTAAGAAAATTATATATTTACATATATTTTAATAGATTTCTATTATTCTTTTTAAGTTGACATTCCACAGTATGACAAATTGTAATACTCATGACCGAGTATTGGTAATGTATATGGTATTTATAAAGTATATGGTAATTATATTGTATGAGCAATTTTATGTTAATGCTTTGCATAAACTGACGCATGTCACTTGATTATATAACAGTCAAAGCAAATATAAGGCCAGAAAAGTCTATAAATCACTAAGAGAGGATTAACATTTCAACCAAAGAGGAGTTTATTAACTAATCTCCAACTGACATTGGAAATTGATTTTAGTTTTCTATTCTGGTTTCTTAAAAGTTTGCAAATCAAGTCAAACACACAGATTGAGGTATAGCAACACCTCTTATCTAGAATCCTCTGTTAATACTTCCAGCAAGAGTCATTGTCTGGAAACCTTCATATAACTGCTCTTCTCTCCTATGCACAATATGTAGTATACCTTCATCACCATGTGCTTAATCGGGAAACCCCCTTATTTGGAATGTCTCCCAAGGAATCAAATTAGGCCTAATTATACTTAATGGCAATGACTGCTTCTTAATTTGGATGCTAATTCTGCTTAATTGAGATGCCTTCAGGTGTCTAAGTGGTGCTCTAGTAAAGAGTATTGGTGTGTATGAGTGCATCAACCTGGAATGTCTTGTTTCTTTTCTCAACATTTCACCAGAATAAATGAAGAAAGGCAAAGAATTTACTGAAGCAATATAACACAAGATTCCTGAAATTTAACTTGTTAATTGTTGAGTGTTCAGAATCAACAAAATGTATATGAAATCATTAGAAATATCTATTTAACTGTGTACAAAGATGAGAAAGAACCTGAAATTGGTAGAATGAGAGAAATGTGTAAATCCAAACGGCATACGTTCATTATTTTATTTATTTTGCAGTTTGGCCACATTGAAAAAATCAGCTTCAAAATGTCAAAGAACACACCTTATGCATTTTAACAGATTTTTGCCCCCTGGAGTCTGGTAAAACAGGAAAATAATGGGATCCAAAATATATCAAACACAAAATATGACTCTGATGATAACCAAAACCTCTTTCTTTGACATTTTGCTTGCGTACATGTGGTAGACACACTGGTTATCATAACCATCAGCCCTGCCTTCTGGCTTCCAGATGGTTCTTTCCTCAGGCACCCTAGGAGCCGGACCATGGGCATTTGACTCAGTTGGACCTGAAGGGAAGTCTGCTTGGGACATTCTAGAAAATTTCTTTCATTTTTGAGAAAGACATGTCCCATTTCTTCATCGACCATGATTATGTCACAGTCATCTTGTGCCCTCAGCGGGGCGAGCATTATTACTGCTCTGGATACGGAGCAGGAAAGAGAGGGCAACACCTGAATTGTCAACAATGTTCCTGAGCTCCCAGATGAAACCTGGAATCTCTCTGGCTCTACCCTTTTGTTATGTGAGATGTTTCTTAAAACTTCTTATAACACCTACAGCTGAAAACATCCTATCGACACACTGAATAACCTATTATTTCATTTCCGTATGGCACCCCTCCCAGTGATAATGGAATACATAGCTGCAGAAATAACTGACTTTCTTGCAGAAAAGAGAGCTAATGAAGTGCCATCACAGTGCAGTGAAAGGAAACCCATATCCTCATCCTGCTCTAGGAGCAAAATAGCTGTGAAATCTTTAACAAGTACTTTACGTTCCATGGATCTCAGTTTCTCATCTGTCAGGTAAAGGGTGTTCAGACAATAGAAACTCTAAGCTTCCTTTTAGATAGAGATTTCAATTATTCTAGTAGGTATGGGAAAGAAAGAAACTCAAATATATAGACATATCTGTAGTATAAAAATATTCATGATTAATCATATGTGATCTGGATTTAAATGAATTTTGAAAATACTATAAGGGTGTTAATCAAATTTCTTGAAGCTTTAGCTTGGAGCCACTGCTTGTCCTATCAGAACACCATAAGTTTACTGCTTTTTCCTTGCAAAAGACTTCAGTACTTTAAAGCCCTTTATCCGACATTTAGAATTACAAAAATCCCTATCATTCATTACAGCGGAAGCCCACTCCATTCCCCAACTGACACAGAGAGAAAAATATGCCATCAGCACGACTCTCTTTGACTCTATTTGGCTTCTCTGCATGATATCATGCATATCCCAGATCTCAGCAGCTAACAACACACTTGTGAATTCCAAATTTACCTCTACCAGTTATATCCACTTGAATGAATATACAGCAGGCACCTCACTCTCATTATGCCTAAAACCAAACTCATTATCTCTTCCCATTAAAAAACAAAACACAAAACAAACAAACAAAATAAAACCAACAGTGGTTCGTAAGGCCCTTTCCCTGGTTCCAGGTAGGGAGAAATTATATTATTCCAAAGTGGAACAATTTGGAGAATAAAAGAAGGTCATTATTAATAATGGTGTGGGAACCGCAGATGTAGGGCAGGGTGGCCCCGGAGGGGCTAGAACATAAGTTCATTCTGGTAAGAGTTTCACCATCCCCCACCAGACCCATTCTTGACTCTTTCTTGATTCCATTTTGCCTGCACATTTACTGTACCATATCCTTAAGAGTTGCCAAGGAGTAGATCTTAAAAGTTCTTATCACAATAAATCTGTAACTACGTGAGATAATATGCATTAACAGTTTAGCAAATAATTACATTATACACCCTAAAGTCAAACAATATTATACGTCAATTATATCTCGACAAAACTGAGGGGCAAAAAAGAACATAGACCAGAACCAGTAAGAGGAAACCAAATGAAGAAAACTTACTTTCTATTTGAATCCTAGACCGGTCTTCCAATAAATGTGGATACACACACACACACACACACACACACACAATGCTTGAGCTTGTCATCTCAAACAGCAAACTGTACGGGTGCATGACACGTGCTAGCTTATCCATCTTAAACCGTTGTCTGAGTCAGAGTATTGTTGCATCAGCTACACAGAGGTGGAAGGTGGAAGCCTTACCTTGTCTGGATCCGTTGTGGTAATGACCCACACACAGTGCGCGTTGTCTTCGTACTGAACTGGGTAATTAGGGGATGTAATGATGCCACTGGGTCCCCGCAGATTTGATCCACATGTTCTAGCTAAAAATACATAAAGGTGGTGTTACTTTCTGCAGCATTCTATCTGTGTGGTGAAGACAGAAACATGGAAGATTGAACTACGTATTCATTAATGATGATAAAAAGTGGTTCATGAACTCAACTTGGTAAAGGAAGTTTGCTTAGCTATCAGGACCCTTGTTTGGTCTCTGCAACTGAACCCAAGGCATTACCGAGGTCACAAAATGACCTCGTTCATTCAGTCAATCACCACGGACAATGTCAAATCAAATTGGTCCACCTCAAATCCCACTCTGACTCAAAGAGAGTCTGCATACACATGTGGCTAGACACGGATGTCATAGATGGAGGGGGAACACAGGTCAGGGAAGCTCCAGGAACCCACACCGTGCCCTACAATGTAGGACAACTTCATCTTTTCCACTGTAAATGAGGACAGCGGGACAGATCATCTCCAAAGTGTCTTTCAAGCTTTAGATCCTATTCTGCAATCAACTATGCAAATTTCTTTACAGCACAATGCAAACAGGAACTTCAAATATAGTTGACAATTTAAAGCAAGAAAATAGACAGTGACTGTAAAAGGAAAAAGAAAAAGAAAAAGAAAAGAGAAACTACCTTAAATTGAAAGACTAAGCACATTATAGAAATGACATAACCCAACAAATATGACTGTTTTTACTCTACAACAAATATTTCAACTGACCTCCATCTTAAGAAAGATTTATTTTTCAAATCAATAGATAATGTTTAGAAATCAAATGCCAGCTTACAATGCAATCCAGTCTTCACATTAATAATTTGAACTGGGTTTGAGAACAAAGTAAGAGAAATGGATTTCACAAGAAAGAATTAATGTAAGGGAAGCTCTAGTTCGTTTTCCTTAGAGTTCCTATCACACAAACTGATTAAACTGCCATCCAGTAAAAAATTAATCCTAATCAGAACCCATCTCACCTTTGTTCTTTTTCTTGGCTGAGCACCCACTACAGGTTGGGCGTTGTTTTGGGAGATTCAGTCACAAAATTAAGAGAACAGGACTCTGGCTTCTGGGAGCCATCGCATAGCTGAGGGATCAGGAGAAACCATTTCACTGAGCTCCTTCTAACAACCCCCAGGAATATAACACAAATCATACCTATTCCTGATAACAGGCCTTTATTATGATGATTAACTAACAGATCTATCTTTCCTACACGGTTGTGGATTTCTTGACCTTGGAAAAGCATCCTTCTCTTATCGTTAACACCCATATCCAGGGTCTACACAGTTGCTGACATAAAAATGTGAAGAGTAGGCAACTTTTCAGTTGTATGATACTCACAATGAGGATAATTAGCTAAAAATTAATCTACTATACATCAATTAACAAAACACGGGGGTAACCAACGTTTACAATATCGGCATGGACTTTGCAAATGGACAAGGTTTCTTAAGTAAGATGTGTAGGACAAGATTACTTAAATAAAGTATATGACAGATGGCCTGGCTTTCAAAATTCAGTAGGTAGTCCTGACTCGAAAGGTCCTCCAACAGGGAGCTAACTGAATACAAACAAAAACATCTAACTCTGCATTCAAAGGATCTAGTTAGAGGAACGTGTTCTCAGAAAGGATTATGAGCTTCCAATGTGAAATTTTCCTAAAGCTCCTTGTTAACAGCATTCATCGGGAAACGTTAGAAGTTAACACTAATAAATGTTGAGTTACAATACCTTTATGTCACATGATCATCATTCTTTTTTAATTTTCAAACTGAAGAGCTGATACAGACATAATGTCATGTTACTCGATAAATATTTTTTTACTTAATTTTGACTTAATAGTATCAAAGTGCCATTCTAAGTATTTCAAACTTAAAAAAAAAAAAAACATCTGAAGAGTGAGTGAGTGCAGTCAGGGACTAATTTGTTACAACCCCACTGACAATTTGTGCCCATCCAGTCATTAGCCCCAGCTGTCACTCTGCTGGAAGGTTCACCAAATCTGACATCCCACCAATGGCCTTGCGTCCCACGCGTCTGCTTTGATGCTTGACCCTTAACTTGACTTATTCAAATTGCCTACCAGCTCTCCATGAAATTCATCTCACCATTGCTTGGGGAAATATGATTTTTAGTGATTATATAGTTTAGTGAGATAACCATTAGTAAAATGTTTGTAGGAAAGGAGTACATTTCCCACAGTTTCCTTCATATTTAGGACTGGGTTTAGCATAGTGACTGATGAGTCCAGTCTCTTTGGAAGTATTTTTCACCAGAAATTGTCAGATTAATCCATAATTTTTTTCTTTTTGTCTTAGAAGTATATCTCTATTTTTGTGATGTATTTTTCTAATCCATTAACTTTAACTATCTTTCCCATACTTTTAGTCAAGCCATCAAATAATTAGCGGAAATGAAATATGTGGGAAAATCCAGGGCATATCCCCTCTTTTGATGATTAGAACAATACCTAGCATTTGATCATTTTCCCCATAAATACTTGTAGTTTTTAAATAGTAGAATGGCCTCAAATAACACAATCTAACTATAATTATTTAATTCTAATCCTCCGCTTGAGGAAACTGTTAAAAACAGCTAGGACCTTAGTTTTTGTGCTTCTAAATCTTCCCATCCTCATCATCAGCTTCTTTATTAAATGAGGATACTATTGTCATCACACCAATCATGATTCATTAGGTGCTGCTTTCATTATCAGGGCCCTCCTACTAGTCAAGGATAATCCTCAGATTTTGCACTGGCAACTATTCAAAGTTCAGTCATCTCTGTGTAGAGTCTTTACTGAATAATAATGATGTATTTTGATTTATCACGATTTCTATGTATTATTTATCCAGGTGCACATGGCGGTTGCCATGCAGACAGGACGTTGTCTGCTGAATCTCCTGCAGACAGTCTGTGACCTGTTTTTTGTTTTCTATTTTGTGGTTCTGTGGCGGGGTTATAGAAAGTGGTCAGTTCCCTGAATTATAGAGCCGAGTAAGCCACACTGCTCGCTCCATCACACCCCATAACTTCCTCCCCATCAGCTTCAAGAACCTGAAGACTAGTTTCCTTCATATCCACCACATGTCACATTTCTTTTAAAAGCCTAATTTTCATGAAGAATAAGAGGAGCTAGAAAGTAACACAGAATAGCCTGAGGGACAAGAGAGGAACCAGGATTATAAGCTCCACTGAAATGTGTCCGATGGGTGGGCATCATACATGGCAGAGCCCTGGGAGTGTTCAGTTAGGGTGCATCTGAGCCCCAATTCCTCCCCAAGATCTTGTTCCCTAAGAAGATGGCCTGCAGGGCAGGAAGGAGGCAGGGGAGTTGAGGGGACCTCTAGGGCATGCAGACCCTCCTAAAGGAGGATGGTTGGTATCAATTTATCTGCAAACCACGTCTGTGCTGCTTTGCCAGTGATTTTTCTGCTATAACTGAATGGGAACTCAACCAACGTAGTGGACATTCATAAAACCATGCTATAATCTGATTCAGGTGGCTAGAACCCTGAAGATTTGCCACCCTGCCTGTCTCTTTCCACTTCTAGACTCTGCTGACTCCTCAGTGCATCCTAGGAGGATCATGTGACTTTTCAGACTAGTGCAAACCTGTTAGCTTAGCAAAGCTGTCCTGATGGTGACAGAGCAATTGCACGATGCCCTTGGGGGCAAGGTGGGGGGACTTGCTCCCAAACACCTGCTTCTGTACTAAACAGGCATTCAGGTAGTCATCATAGTGTTTCATTGGCCAACCTAATGAAGTAATGATAATCTTGTAATGTCATGCTAGATTTTACAGCAAGATTTAAATACATTACCATAGTTGAAATGTATATGTTCATATGTATTGTAGTTGAACACCACTTTCCTTCCTGCTAAGGTCTCTCCCTTGTCAACATTTTCCTGGAAGGAATAGACATTTAAATGCTTAATAATGCTTAATAAATGGTCTTTGGTACTCGTCATGACCTAATGTACACCTAATGTTACTCATGTGGCAGTGCTCTAAACTTGGAACTCAAATTTTTCTTATATATGTTTTAATGTTTTTAAAATTAAATGGGCAGCCCCCGTGGCACAGCTGTTTAGCATCTCCTGCAGCCCAGGGTATGATCCTAAAGAACCGGGATGGAGTCCCACATCAGGCTCCCTGCATGGAGCCTGCTTCTCCCTCTGCCTGTGTCTCTGCCTCTGTGTGTGTGTCTCATGAATAAATAAAATATTTTTAATTTTTTTTTTAAAATTAAATTAAATGAGAATTCACAAAATGATAGTTGAAAATATATCAAGAGGGGATGTGGACAGGGAGAAAAAAACTGATTTTGAATGCAAATATATGCCATTTATCTATTTAATCAATGAATATTTATTAAGTACAAAACATATTTGCTTCACAGAATTTATCTTATGTAATATGATGTAATAATTTGTCTATTTATGTAAATCCAGTTCCAGGAATCCGTACTGTTCTATAGTAACTATTTAATTAATCAAGCTCATTAGAGACAAATATTCTAATTGACTAAATTTAAATTAAGAAGCTACCTGGACATCTGAAGCATGTTCCAAACACATTAGTAATACATTAGATACTCTATTTCTTGTATGTTTTTAGGAGAAAGAACTTTTATCAGCCAGAGCTTTTATATTTATTTCCTGATTGTCAACCAAAGCAGAGAACATTATGTCATAGAGGTTAAGAGTTGCTTTTCTTAATCACAGCTGAGTTCCAAGCCTGGTTTATGCAGTTACTGGACAACTAATCTTGATGTATTTCATTTTAACGCCCTCCAGTTTGTTTAATGAGTGTAATAATCATAACTCTATCTGTGATTGCTCTAAGGATTGAAGGAAGGACACCAAGGGAGGCAGTTAGCACGTGGCCCAGTATGTTCCAGCTGTGTGTTACCCAAATGCACACTTATTGTGAGTAGGGCACAATATCAAGCATGGGCTGTGTAGCAGAGAGAAAACAAAACCAAAATCCTTCCTTCTCAGTCCATTAACAAGTAGACACGCACCATCTAATCTA